ACTCATAACAATAAATGGAACAAAACTCTCTCTCTCTCTCTCTCTCTCTCTCTCTCTCTCTCTCTCTCTCTCTTGTGTTAGCTCTTAGTCTCATTGATTTGGCTACCTTAGGGCTGCGTTCCCTCGATTCCTCTCATAACAATAAATGGAACAAAACTCATAGAAATTGCATCCACTTTGTGTCCCTTCTGTGCTCTCGGTTCCTCTCAAACGAAAACAAAAAAGACAAATTCAGGACCGTTAGGGCTGCATTACGCACACCCCTGTAGTTAGTGAGGCAGTACTTTCCCTCGATGCACCGGAACCTACCCTACAGGCCCTTTCTCGAGCAATCGTCCACCTTGCAAGGGGGTAGAGGGGGGGGGGGGGGGGGGGGGGGGGCAAGGTCTATCGATTAGCCCTTCCCCCCTGCAGTCCCCTTCCCCCCCTCAAAAAAAAAGAAAATCTCCCGTCGTCATGTACCCTTTGAGGCGTGCAATGGGCAACCCTGCCGGCCTCCCCCTCGGTAGTACCAGTGCCAGTATCAGGCTGGTTGGATCGAGCATTGGCGTTGGGTCTCGCTGCAGTACTCTCGACATGCACAAAAGACAAAAATATTGGCGCCGTATCTTTCCATATTCTAGCGGAAGATTCACTCTCGTTTTTGCACATTTCGAGAGTAGTTGCAGCTTCCTGGATCCGGAACTGCGCGCCATCTTGTGTGCGCGAGGCCCCTTTTCTTGGCGCGAAGGCGGCAGGTGACTGGATCCGGAACTGCGCGCCATCTCGGTGAGAAGGCCCCCCCCCCCCTTTATCAAATCACGCGGAGAATTTCGCCCGACTGGTGTGATTCCACCGATCAAAGTGCGCTTGCTGACGTGGCAGCCTCCTGGGCTGTGAGGTTGGTTGGTTCGACTGAGCCCCTGCGCCCCTGCTTCTTCGCGGCGCGAGCGCACGCGCGCGCGCGCGTTGTCACTTCCCTTACGTGGTAGTGTTGTCTCCTGATTGGCCCGGACACACCCGCGTCGTCTTGGCGGGGAGGGGGAGCGGCGCTGTGTATTTATTCGTTTGTACGGAATTTGGCGGGTGATTATTGCTGATCGGTGTGCGCGCTGACGTGGCAGTCGACGTGTCGACGTGGCAGTCGACGTGGCAATCTGATTAAAAAAACGTGAAGACATGACGACGGCAGTGAAAGTGTACCGCCTTCTCAGAAATGGCGGGAAACACGTCAGCAGTGGCGCGAGAGAGGTCAGCCGGTCGCGACTGCTGCGCCACTTTTTGGCGGGAAAGAGTGCAAATGACTCTCCCGCGCAATTGGCGTCGAGTCAGTACCGTACGATGAGCATCTGTGGGGGGGATCACGCGGTGGAGGCGCAAATTGATGGGTGTCGGGATCGGGATCGTGTCCGAGAAGGGAGTACGATCGGGATCGGCCACGTGGCGAGCCGTGGCGTGATTCTTCGAGAGAATCCAGACCGGTCATTCTCTTCGCCGTTCGGCGCGCTTGGGCTGACAGGTAAAAAAAACCTTCATCACTTACTTAACTAGTCCTAGTTCTTTTTTATTTTATTTTGCACCTTAGACTTTAATTTAATTAATTACTAAAAAGTAATTAGTTAAAGCTAGTTTCAGCTTCTGACTGCAAGGATAATGTATGTTCTTTTCCCTCTCCCATCCTCCCTCCCCCGTTCACCTTTTGTCAACCTTCTCTCCCTCACCCCTTCGTTCCCAATTGGAACCCAATCTTCCCATAAATAGGTACCCTTTTTTTTGTCTTTTTCATGGCCTGACGTTCTTCTTCCCCCCTCCTT